CTTTCTCCTCAAATATGACATCTCGGCCCACCATTATCTTATTCTCTTTAGGGTTGAACAATCTATAAGCCTTACTATCTGGTTCGACCCCTAGATACACCACCTGGATACTTCGATCACTTAGCTTGGTTAATTGATTTGATGGCTTCTTCATGTGTGCAAGGCAACCAAACACTTTGACATGCTGAAACGTTGGTTTTTTTCCTTTCCATCCTTCATACGGTGTCATATCTTTTACACCTTTCGTTGGCATTCGATTTAGAACATACACTGCATGACGAACAGCCTCCCCCCACAATCTTTCAGGCACACTCATAGTCTTCAAGAATGATCTCGTGGCTTCAAGAACGGTCCGATTGCGACGTTCAACTACACCGTTTTGCTGGGGCGAATACGGTGCAGTTAATTGCCTTTTGATGCCTTCTTTGCTGCAAAATTTTGAGAAAACTTGGGAGGTGAACTCCTCTCCCCGATCTGTCCTGAGTACCTTTACCTTGTATGGACTCTCATTTTCAACCTAAGCTTTAAACTTCTTGAAGGTTGCAAAGGCTTCGTCTTTTGATTTCAGCATATGTACCCACATGTATCGCTAAAATCATCGACCATTAGCATGAAGTATCTGTTACCTGCCAAAGTTTGTGGTGTTATTGGACCACAAAGATCAGCGTGAATTAGCTCGAGAGGTTTACTTGCTCGCCACATTGCTTCTTTTGGGAATGGTTGTTTGACTTGTTTCGCGACCAAACACCCATCGCAAACTTGTGTCGGGTGTTTTATCTTTGGCACACCTTCTACTAATCCTTTCTCAACCATTGATTCCATAACTCGAAAGTTTACGTGCCCCAACCTCGCATGCCATAGCCAAGCCTCGTCATCAATACTAGTTGCCATACAAATCGGTTGTGAAGTTTTGAGAGTGATCTTGTACAACCGGTTCTTGGACCGTTGTACCTTCATTATCAATCTTCCATGTTCATCATGTACTCGTAGATACTGATGCAACATCTCAATCGTGTATCCTTCTTCTGTCATCTGCTCTAGACTCAGGATGTTACAATGCAAAGCTGGAATGAAATATATATCTGGTACAAGTATTTGATCACCATTCTTGCACTTAAACAAGATTGTCCCTTTTCCTTCAATCTTCACTTTAGAACCATCGCCAAAACGCACCTGTCCGGTCACCTTCTCATCGAGTTCAGCAAAGAAACTTCTCATGCCAGTCATATGATTACTGGCACCATTATCCAAATACCAAAGGTCTTCACCACTGCTCTTCTTTCCTGGGAACACCTTGTCTTCATTTAGTAACACCATGTTGTTTGACTCTTCCCCAAGGATACTCAACAGAAGTGCTTCTGGTTCATCATCACGATTTTGAGTTTGAGTCAAGTTTACTTCATCTTTTCTTTCCTTTGGAGCTTTGCATTATGATGCATAGTGACCATATTCTTCACAATTGTAACACTTTATATGACTTTTATCCCTTCCTTTTTTACGATTATTGTGTGAGTCATGAAACTTTGTAAAGCTTCCACGACCACCTCTGCCCCGTGTACTTGCTCTACCTCGTCCACCACTTCGACCACCTCTGTCATGATGTGATGATCCACGTCCCTTACCACTCGAGAAGGAACCCCCCTTTGAAGCCTTTTGATTGTTTTGACCTTCTGATCGGGTAAACAACAAACTTCCTTCCCCGGTTGTATTATTGCTTCGAAGTTTCAGCCGATCCTCATAGGCCTTGAGCCTTCCTATAGCTTCCTCGAATGGCATCTCATCCACATCTGAATATTGTTCAATGGATGCTACCAGTTGCAGGTAGTTATCTGGGACGGAGTCAAGTAGTTTTCTTACGAGCACACTATCTTCAAGGGTTGTGCCAAGACTGCTGTGCTTCGAGATCATTGCACCTAGTTTTCCCGCGAACTCATCTATAGACTCCCCGTCTTTCATCCGTAGGGCCTCGAACTCACTCTTGAGAGTGTGCAATCTTGCTTTTTGAACTCTATCAGCCCCGAGAAACCTTGTTTTTAAAGAATCCCACACTTCCTTTGCTGTCTTCTTCTTTGCCACCTGTAACAAGATGTCTTCCGGTATTGCTTGGAAAAGATAAGCCCGAGCCGACTTATTCTTTTTCTCATCCATAGCTTCTCCCTCTGCTGGTTCAATGGATTCCCATACTCCTTGGGCATCCATTATAGCTTCCATTTTGATCGCCCACGTGGTGTAGTTCGTGGGAGTCAACATCGGACATTGAAATGGCACTCCACCATTCTCTCTTGTAACAAGTTGGCTAGATGACGACATGGATTCGTAACGGATATATTTGGGCATGAACCGAAAGCTTTGATACCAAGTGTTGGTGATCAAGCTAGAAATGATCACAATAAAAACTACACAGGTCTGGAACAGAGGCGAGAATGCACACATAAAATTTTCTGAATTCTTCTTTATTTGACACACTCCAAACAAACTACAAACTGATTGCAATTTATAGACTCTTATCACATTAAAACCTGAATTAAAAGTGCTTTTAAAACTACCAAACTATAACTGAAAACTTTAACTACCAGGTTAACCACAATGTGGTAACCGATTATTCTCTTTATTGCATTAAACTTAAATTCAAATCAGAATTAACTCCAATATTGCTTTTGTTTTTTTTTTTTTTTGGTCTGATATGAAGTTGAGTGGAACAGTATAAAATTGTTTTGACTGTTTGTTCTTGTTCATCTCTTGTGCTGTGATTAAAATTTTAAGAGCCTGTTACACATGGTCCCTTTGCTCAAATTTTCTTTTATGGTGCACCTTTTGAATTTCATATACGGACTAGAGAGGCACCCATCCACATCTATTACAATCTTTCTTGGGTTTGATCTGTGCAAATAAGTTTTTTGGTTGTGGATAAAATCGATTTAGATGCAAATGCAACTTTTCTGTGAAATCCATTTTGGATGCAACTGTAATGTGTTTTATTTTATTGTAATTCTTCTTCTTCTTTTTTTTTTTTTTTGACAAATTATATTGTTTTCTAATATATGTGTTTAACAACACCTCAAAATAGGGATATTAAAAAGTCCCGTGGGATCCCGATCCCGAATGGGGAATATTTGTTTAAAAAATCGGGGACGGGGGCAATGTTAACCCCCGTTTTAATTTCGAGGGCGGGGGCGGGGGTAGGTAGTCCCGTCCCGAACCCCCAATGGGGGACCCCGTTAATATATTATTTATATTAATATATATATATTAATTATAAAAATATAATAAACAACATCAATTATTTTAAACTTCCAAAATTCAATTAAATATAATGTTTTTAAGTTTATAGTATAACGTTTTTAAGATGTTATAATATTTTTATGTTAAATATATAAACTTATGTTATAAATAACTATTTTTATCCAAAATGGTTTCTTTTAACTCAAAAAATAAACTTCTTTTAGCCTAAACAACACCTTCGTTGGCCCAAAAAAAAGCAACCTAAACGGGGGCGGGGCGGGGGTAATCCTGGGACTCGGCGGCGGGGGCGGGGGCAGGGGCAGGGGCTGGGGAACAGGAAAATTTCGGGGGTGGGGGCGGGGGATGCAATCCCCTTCCTGTCTTCCCCCGTTGACATCCCTACCCCAAAATAACATATCAAAGCCAAACAATTGGATATGTCAAAACGGTTTAAGTTTTTAATAGGGATGATGATCTATAAGCATTTTTTGTCCATTTTAAAATATTATATAAACAATTAACGTGTTAGATATTAGTTATGGTTACAAATATTGCAGAGACTATGGAATAGATGAAACAAATAATTATGAGCATGTTTGACAAAAATAATTGATAGTTAGAAGTTGTACGTTTTATTTGTTAAACGAGTGTTTTACAAAAGTAACTTGGTAAACAAGTGTTTTACAAAAAAAAAAAAAAAAAAAAAAAAAAAAAAAAAAAAAAAAACTGAAAGCTTTTAAAATGTTTAAAATTACATAAAAAGACAATTGTTTTAAAAAAATAAATATATAAATATACTTTTTAAGGACAATTCTGAAAATTAATTAAAAAAGTTCAAATAGTTTTTTTTTTAAAACGTTACTTGAAATATGCTTTAGATTTCGAGCTTTTAATTTACACTAAAAGCTAAACTCATTTTTTTGTTTAAACTTTAAATCGAGCTTTTTGTTAAAAGCTAAAAGGTGGAGGCTGCCAAACACGCATATATGTCTTTTTATTTATTTGTGTATTTTAGCATACTACTTTCATTTATATATGTTACAACACTGTATTTTTTATTTTTATTTTCTTATTAAAATGTTGTACTTAAAAGTATGAACAAACTTCTTTGTTTGGACACAACAATATATTTCAAAATAGGGTTTAATTGCAAAAATTAACAACATACTTTACCAAACTTATTTTTCATTTGTCAGTTCCAGGAAATATAACCGTTTTGCTTGCAGTTCCAGGACAAATTTCCATATCCAATTTGTAAAACTGAAAATAAAAGATATTGAAAAAACCATTAGTTTAATCAGAAAATAAGCTTCCTGTATTCATCTGCCTCTTTAGCCATTTCCTCCATGCTTCTATCTTTTCTTTCCTTGTCCAAGTCAAGTGTCTTCTTCAGTTCCTTCTCCTTCTCATCAATCTACACAAACACATAAATATTATATAATAACAATCAGTAATTCAATTTCCAAACATAATCATATTCATATAAACCTTCTTCATAAACACAATCAATTTCCATACTTACAGCATCATAGATCTCATCATTGTTCTCAAAATCCCCACCTTTCCTAGGGACAATGTGGATGTGAACATGAGGAACTGTTTGTCCTGCTTGGGGCCCATCCTGAAATAACATGAAGCATGTCAACTTCAAGATTGCACATATATATAAAACGGAAGGAATCACATTCCATTCCATTCCTTCCCTGATTCCATCATACTAAACACTGCAGAAGCAAGAAATAACAAAAAATGGGAATTGAATAATGAAGCCAGATTACTTGGATTGCAAATGTAAGTGAAGAAGCTTTGTGGTACTTCTCAAGCTGTCTCCCAATTTTTTGGGCTGAAATCCACAAGTCACTGGTCTCCTCTGTGGTGAGGTCAACAAATCGCTTTACTTCACGCTTTGGGCAAACAAGCACATGTGCTTTCATTGTTAAGTAAACCAAAGAAATCCAAATTTTAAAGAATAAATAGTGATGTGAATGGGCAACATGAAGAGCATATATATAACTCCATTTATATAACGTATAAAGTATAAACTAACTAGCATGCTAAAAAAAATCGATCAAGTCTGCATGACCTTTTCTTGAATGCACAAACTGATCATGGGAGGCAACTGCTAAGTGATGTATGCACCTAATCTGTATCTATGTTTGATTCAACTTCATTCGAGTGTACAAAATCAGTATCAGTTGACAAATAACAACATAGGGCAAAACCATAAGCAGGCATTCAGAGGGACTAAAAGATATATTAAGTACTAGTGTACTACTACTACATATTCAAGCTGATTCCAGTGTAAACTTGTTCAAGGATATGACCTGTAAAAGAAAACGAGGAATAGTCAGAATTAACTAAGGTGTAAAGCAACGGATTATGATTTTATGAGTAATAGATGATAATGGAAGTCACAGTTAACATTTCTGAATCCTATTGCGTGTTGGGACAGAATCCTCTTACACCTAGGGTTTATACAACGTTCTTTTTTTCTTTGAAATTAATCCACAACCATTAGGTTGAGGAGAATGAAAGGAACCTTGAATACTAGACGATGATTTGGCAGGGTTTAAAGAACATCTAATCATGAATTAACAATTTAGCATCAATGCGGTAGCAGGTATAAAGATTCTAGGGAGATCATACGAGATTCCGTCATCAAGTGCATGAAAACGAAAACAAAACCCTAAAACAACAAACCACAATTAGCACTACATGAACGAACAATTACCAGGAAGAAGAGGGCGGAGATTGACCAAAGCATATGAAAGATCAGTAGAGTAAAATACTTCCTTTTGATCAATCTTGTAAGGTCCAAATTTATAATGTTCCGCTTCCATCTGCACGCATCAATTTTCAATGATCGGTAAAAGAGCAAACTGGAATTTACAAAGAAAACAGAAAATGGAAATTTTTTATGTTACTAGCTGTGAATATATGTTGCCACTCACCTGAGTGGATGAAGCAAATGATGCTCTTGCGATATGGAAACGAGCGGCGGTGGCCGGGCGGAGTGCTACGGATGAACGGAAAGAGGAGAGCGGTGAAAGTAGCGATGGTAGCCTTTCCATTTGTACGTTAAAATGTCTAGCGGAGAATTGATTTTTATTTTCTAATTTTACAAAAAATACATATTTTTGTTTAGCTAAAAAAAATAGAATACATTTTCAAATTTATCAAATTTCCAATCCAATTACCCAAAATACCATGTGATGAACACAAAGCAACGGTGACCGACATAGTTGTCAAATTCGTACGAGTCACGAGTCGTATCATTTTGAACCATAAAAGAGTCGGTTCGGTAGTATGACTCGGCCAAAAATCATGAGTCGTTGCTTAACTCGTACCAAGTTGAGTCGATTCATGACTCGGTCGAGTCATATGTCAAGTGTGTAATCGAGTAATCCAACGAATAATTTGGTTATTGAGTGGGTTCTAATCTTCTTTTAGAGAAACTATATGTCGTAGACAATGATAAACGTTTTCTATATAAAAATGAAAAACAAAGGTGAAACTTTCTTAGATGTAAGTTGTCTAAGCCTTGGACTCTGCAAATCATGAACATCATTCAACCCTTCTTCCAACCTAAAGGCTAAGGTTGAAGTAAGGACGAGAGTGTTGGTTGTTCGGTTAGTATAGTTGGTAGCTAAATCTCAAAGAAATGATTGGTAAATATTTTGGTAAATAGAAAGTCAAGAGATGTTTTTTTTGAAAAGTGAGAAAGATCTTACCTTAAGAAGTGAAAATAAATTACACTTATTTATTATTTTATAATGTTAGTAGCAATGAATAACTTTTGAAAAACATTATTCTTTCAATCCAATTTATCAATTTTCCAATCCAGTTACCCAAAATACCATGTGATGAGCAACATGACAATGGTGACTCGCATAGTTGTCAAACCCATACAAGTCACGAGTTGATTCATTTTGAATCATAGAAGAGTCGACTCGATAGTGTGACTCGGTCAGAATCATGAGTCAATGCTTGATTGGATGACTCGATCGAGCCATATGTCACATGTGTAATCGAGTTATCCAACATGTAATTTGGTTATCGAGTGGGTTATGACATTTATTTTGGACAAGCCATATGTCTGATGTAGTGATAACATTTTTTATAGAAAAAATGAAAACAAAAGAAAAACATGTAAGCTTTTTAAGCCTCGGGCTCTGTAAATCATGAATATCATTCAATCTTTATTCCAACCCAACGTTTGAAGTAAAGAAGAGAGCATTGGTTGTTAGGTAAGCATAGTTGGCAGCTTCATCCGGAGGAAATGACTTGCAAATATAATGTTAGTAAAAGTGAATAATTTTAAAAAAGGCAATATTATTCTTATTTTAAGTTAACAAAAGATTGATATATTTTTAATCGTTCGTGTGTGTGTGTGTGTGTATATATATATATATATATATATATATATATATATATATATATATATATCTTATAATTTTTTACTATCATGACAATTACGAGCTGAGTCGTTAGTAAAAAAATTGTATTTTCAAGTTAAGATTGAACAACTATGGAGATTTACAATAAGTTGTAGACATAATTGCAAAAATGATCTTTATGGTTTTTCATTTTAGGTGGTTAAGGTCCAAACTTCAAAAACATTATAGATTTAGTCTTTTTAACATAGTTTAGTTGTGGATTTTGTCCCTATCCAAACTAAAAACTATTTTACCCTATTTACTTATTTTCTAAAGATTTTAAACATTTTTCTAAATATTTAATAATTAATCAAATAAAAAAAATACTAGCGCCCTCTCACTATATCTTCAAAGCTCATCTCCTCCTCACCATTCTATTTCCCTTAACCGGAGAATACCTCCCCATCACCACCTTCCGACCACAATGCCTTCACCAACAGCCACCTTGCACCACCAACCTAGGGCCAACTCTGGTCAAACCCCTATCTTTTTTTCTTCTCTATAATCACACCAATACACTACATGTATGGTTTTCTGCTTCCGCATCTCCTTCCTACCTTTATATTTCCCTTCACCTGTCACAACCCGAAATTTATTTCGTCACGGTAAACCCTTATTCCGCTAATAAAACTTGTTTTATTAAATTGTTCCGTTAACCTTTTGGGATTAGGTTAATTAAATTTGGACTTTTACTATAACTTCATGAGTGTTCAAATTGCAGTAGAAACACATGAAAAGCCCTCGATGTACTTTTTAAAAGTTTCTAATTCACGACCCCGTCGAGTTACAACCATTCAATCGGGTACGACCAAAAGCCTCGTTCAACGTCAGTATCGAATAGATTTCCACCGAGCCACAAACTCAAAACCCTATATAAGGGTGAGTGAACCTCATTTACACCTTTTTCACACACTCTCTCTCTACTCTTTCTCTCTCTCTCTCTCTCTACAAGTTGCCTTCGATCCAAAAACGCCCATTTCGAGCTCCATAATCGTAAGTAATCTATCCTACTTTATTGTTTAGCTTGATATACCTGCAAATTAGTGTTTAAATCACCCAAAACCCACATAAACATGTGTTTACGGTCCAAGAACCCTCTTGGACCGCAAACACTCATAAATGGGGTTTTGAAGCCCCAAAACCCTTCCAAATCACTCCTAGGGCTTAGATAAGACTTGTGGACTAGCATGTAGGAGCTTAGAACACCAAAACTTTGTATACTGAGGAGTAAACAAGAGTTTATGGCCCAAGAACACTCTTGGACCATAAACCCCTCTTCTTGGGTCGTGAACACCAGTTAGGGTGTTGAATTTTCCCTTAAACACCTCCTAAGGCTTGGGTAAATGTCTAGAATCAACCACAAATGAAGTAGGGACTTTAAACATCAAAGAAACTAAGGACCTAGGAGTTTACGGCTGTAAACCCCCCCAAGGATTGGTCCATGGGCCGTAAACTCCCTTAAAAAGGCCAAATGATTCCCTAACTTCTCCATATGGCTTGGAATAATGCATATAACCTTATATTCTTGCATTTAAGACCTTAATTCATGAATGGAATGACCAAGTGAGAGTTTATGATCGTAAACTCTAGGTTTACAGCCGTGAACTCCCTTAAGTGGTTCATTTGGAGCCTTAAACCCTTCTTAAGCCCTAAATGTGAACCTAGCCAAACTCTACAAGTGATATAAGACCTTTTAGCATCCAAAAACACACCACACATGAGTTTACGGCCGTAAAATCATGGGGACATGATCTTAGGGCCGAAATATCCTTAAAGAGTTTACTCTTGAAGAGTAAACTCCATAACTATGCCATACACTCCCTTATTGCAACCCAATAGCCTCCTAGCACTCAACCAAAGTGTTTTCCGCTCATTAGGATGCTTGTACGTGTTTAAATAGTATTATAAATCACTAATTATATGTAAACATATGTCATCATATGTTACTAGGTTATTAAGTGTGTTCAACTCTTCACTTGACACCGAGTACTCAACCGACACTTCCATCGGATCCACTAGCAATAGGTGAGTTTATACCCCTGAATTTACCTTTTAAATGATTTTAACTGCTTTTATAGGGGGGAATACAAGTTGAACTGTACAGTTATTAGATAAATCACATGTGATTAATAACTGTATAGCAAACTAGACTTTTGCATGTTAACTGTTTCAATCAAATTAAGATTTTCAAATCATGTTTTCAAATCTTGTTAAAGTATGAATATCTCTTTTTAAATCATAAAATATTATCCAAAGTTTTCCAAAGTGTGTTTGTTAAAGAGACATCCAGTTGTAATGACTTATTAAAGGCTTTCTTCACTAAAATTGTTTTATAAAAACCCTTTTCAGAGCTTGTTTTACAAAATGACATCAAGTCGTAGATTTCTTAAGTATAAAGGTTTTACTAAAGTTTCTTCTATGTATTTATTTAGTTAAATGCATGCATATATTTGTATGATTATATAAATAATGTTTAAAGGACTTAGGAAGG